AATGTAAGTTAATGCTCCGGTGAAGACGAAGCATCTGCCAGCGGTTTAAATAAGGAAGGAACGGTAATCACAGGAATGCGCCTCAGCTGTGTGCTACAACTAAGAGTCACTGATTATTGAACACAACACAGCTGAGGCGCCGATCCCACCGGACAAAAGAGAGAAAGGAAGAAGAGAGGCAGACCTGACACATTGTATATACTGTAGATATTGTAAGAAAATGAAAGTTGCATTAACTAAGATTTAGCACAAATTTAGTTAAATTAAATAAAAATTGTCCAGAAGTGTCATCTCCCTGCTGCACTAAAACTTACTAAACCTCTTCAGGCCTTGTGTTTATTTCTACCCCTCTCTGGGCAGCATTGTTAAAATCTGCACTGCACTCCTTCTACGCCAATGTATTTTCCTGGATTAGCAAATGAAGTAAATTTGCTCAGTTTGCAAATTTTTGCTCAGTTTTGTTCCAGGTCACGTGGTTTATATCAGACTGCAGTCCATGTAACATTTTAGGTGGAAGTTAAAATGTATACTATCAACACAACTAGGAAATTGGAAAGTTTGTTCAACTATCCAAGCATAACATGAACTTTCTCTTGTTTCACAATCAACTCACAGTTATGTCTGCTAGGTATGTAAGAACATTACTCTGTATAATTTGCTCATGTTACTGCAGATACATGTGCTACAAACGTTAGACATATGTATGCATATCACTAACATGTAAACCGATGCCATCAGGGCTTATGAACTTTTTTCACCAGAGAAACACTGGGTGCATTTACATGGACATGAATATCCCAGTTATTAAGACGATCCAGGTTTTGTTCATATTCTGCACATGGTGTTTACACAGATAAATTTGTTTTTGCATATACATGATATATGCTAATATGCTTGCGAGTGTGACACTACTGTAGCAAGACTTGTAATTTTATGGAAATTCTTAATTTACCAGGTGATGAGAAACATGACTTCAAATGAATGCAAATGTTGCTCAAAAGATGCTGGAAATGTGAGTAAACAACTGAGGTAATGATGTGTCATTGCTGTGTTCACCACTTGTTTCTACACTATGCAATAATGACATTAGTGCAATGACTTTTCTCAAAAGAAATGATACACTTTTATTATAAGTGAAAGGGAGATGAAGAATTGCAGCAGTAATAGGACCACCTGCATGGTTGGAGAAGATATACAACATGAGAAGAATATTAGTCATCCTAATTGCAGCAGAAAATTAAAAACATTGTTTTAATTAAACTGTTTGCGCATTAGAGTTAAACATTAAAACACAACATCAGACAATAGGACACGATCTCTGGTCTTCTGCATGTGAGTCAGGTGTTTGTTTGACCCATTCATCCACAAAGGATCAGAAAGGCAGCAGGCCCAGATGGTGTGACCCCCTCCTGCCTGAAAGTGCGTGATGATCAGCTGGCCCCCATCTTCACTGGCTGTCACTCTGATGAACACTTAACCAATGACCATATGATTGGACAATAAACCTCAGTGCAATACCTGTGTATATACATTGTACAGATTATACAGACTCGTACAGGTCTCTATTTTCACATACTCTATTTTTGTTCCTATTTATCTCGTTTCACAATAAACATTCCTTTGTCTGCATTGTTTACTGCCTGTTTATACTGCTTAGTTTGTTGCTTGTTAATACTGCTTATTATGTTATACTAGCCTTATGTTGGTTTACTGTTTACTTGCCCCTTGCATGGGGATATGTACATACACATTGAGAGCCGATGTACCAGAGTCAAATTCCTCGTGTGTCCGGAGGCCAATAAAGCAGATTCTGATTCTGATTCTTCTAGTGCTTTTAAGATTAAAATGTTCAAAATCACACTCCAGTCCATTTGGAGGCAGCAATGCACCATTTACTTGTCTGACAGCTGCCATAAAACACCATGAAGAAGACCACAAAGAAGCACAACAAGCTGCAATACAACAAACGTTGCCATGTCACAATTTTACAGCCATTATTGTGACACTGCTCTGTTTACACTGTGGACCAATGTAGCTATTAGACATTTTTCAGTGACAGCAGGCTGCTCTGTGCAATACAGCCAAATTCACAATATATACAATATATAATTGTTCTCATTTACATATTTTTCTTAACTAACATGCTCACAGTGAAAATGCCAACTCATGTTTTGCAGGAATGATGTTCACCATCTTAATTGAGCATATTAACATGCTAGTATTTACTAATTAGCACTAAATGCAAGCACACCTGAGGCCAAGAGTGTCATTAGTTTTACAGGTATTTGATGGCATTAGATGAGATGTTAAAGGATCTCCAAAGTAATGAATGAGAAGGGCCTACATGTGTGTGCTCAGTTTCATGACAAACTATCCAATAGCTGTTGAGACACTGGTGTTGAGAGAGGAAAATTCAGAGGATCTGGTTTGATCCTCTGGTGATTAAAAAGGTCTGTACAAAGGTTAATGGTAATCCATCCAGTAACTGCTAAAATATTTCAGTCAGGACCAAAGTAAACGACTGACATACAAACAGCACCATCCACAGAACCACACCACCAGACTGGATAAAGTGTAATTCAATGTTGTATCTGTCTTCAGTCACATCTTTGTTAACACACCTGAGGTGATGTAAACATGTGTCAGCCATCAACAATTGAGTTGCTAGAGTATGTGTCATAATTACACATGCCCACACAATTAATTAATGTGACTGAGATCAACTGTTTTAGTGGAAGATTATATTGTCTTACATGGCTGTCATGAGCTTTGTAACCCTCACACAACCAACTCTGCAATCGTACAGCTGCACTGTACTGTATATACATTACCTCCACTATTTTGTAATGAAATTCAATAACTTACAGAGGCAGCAGCCACATTCATCAAATGAGATTGTACAGTAACTGGACAAAAAAAAGATGAGCATCCAGATAAAATGTTTTCTCATTTAGAGGATGATAAACGGTTAGAGTCAGTCATTATTTTTACAGACATTTTTCTCTCATTCTGTCTTGTTATTGACAGAATGACAAACAAACAAAATCAAAACAAGTCTTTCATTTAATTTCCATGTCTTACTTTAGACTGAACTTTTTAATTCCAAACTAAGGTTAGCATGAAGATAAACAATTCCCAGCAGACCGTCAGAAATTGGCAAGTGACTGTTCTGAGCCTTCATATATGCTGAAGCTTCGTATAAAATAATTGTTTGAAGTGCAATTAAGAAAAATAGAAGAGCGTGCTCTGCTTGCTGTGATGAGGCAAAAGAAAATTAAAACAGGTAAAAGCAATCCCTTATCTTGCTGGCTGAGGGAGGTTTATGTGCTTCATGTGAGAGGAAATTAGAGGTAAAGAAAGAACTAGTCTGGGAACAATGAATATAATTTTACTTAAATGTAAACCAATGAAAGCTGCAGAAATTAAAGTTGTACAGTGCACAGTTTTATGGCTCTGAAGGTCACAGTTTATACATGCATACACTCACTGCATCTGCAGACTGAATATCTTTGGTCCAATGTAAGTAATTCTGTGACAGAGTGAGTTTTGGAGTATATTTGTTTTCATTGTATTTCATTGTATTTCATTGTATTTCATTCTGAATTCTGCAGAGAAACTTTATAAAATTGAATGTCAGATTATGTAAAAAGAAACTGTGTCAAATGGCCTTCATGCTATCTGACAAGCAACCAACCTGAATGGGATTACTTACTTGTACTTCCTGGTTTACTTGTTAAATGTTTGTGAAGTGTGTACTCAACTGTACCTCCTGAGTAGTCTGCTAACATGAAATGAAAAATGTGTTCTCAGTGTTGCCTGCAGTCATTCCATCCTATGAAAGTATTGTTATCCTGTGTTACAAAATATTCACCTTTGTTCCCAGAGTCACCTGCTTTCACCTGCTCCCTTGATAGTGTCGCTGTTTTCCCAAAGCTGTATTAATAAAGCGCTGTTTGTACTTCTCTTAGATCACATTGTTCTGGTCTTGCATTTGGGTCCTAAAAGTACTAAATTGTGACACTTTTATAGCAGACACTCGCTAGTCATGAGCATAATAAGCAAGTATTTTCTGTGGTCATGATTTAAACAGGTATACACATGGAACATTTTAAACTCTGAGAGGTGTTTCATGATCGTGTTGAATCTGAAGCAGGGTGTGCCAGAATGTCTTTCTCTAAAAGAAAACACCACCTTTACATAGAGAGAAACACCTTCAGAAAAGATGATAGCACAGTATGAAAACACCTCAGGAGTAGACAAGGAGGATCATTTAAAAGAAGAAATAAAGCCTAGTGCACCACTTTGAGCCCAAAACTGATAAGAGCCCTCGTCTTCAGATGCCATCATTTAAATGCAGCACTAATTAGCTTTGTCTCTCTGGGCCCACGAACTTTATCATATGCAAATGACAAGTACAGCAACTAAACTGTAATAGTAACATGCAGAAGTAGGTAAAGATATTGACATTTATCTGCTAATTAGCCCCTGGTTAGAGATATTTATTAATTTATTCAGCTAGCATATGTTAAATGGACTGTATTTATATAGCGCTTTTATGCACTGGCCAAAGCACTTTACAGGGAGATTATACACCATTCACACACCGATGACGACAAGGCTGCCACACAACGGCACTAATCAAGCCACCGGGAGCAATTTGGGGTTCAGTGTCAAATAGTCAAATAGAATGTCAAATAGTATAAGTTTTAGACAGTGAATCTTGGCCATACCTTCAGTTGTGTGTTTGTGTGCATCTGACAAAAGAGAATTGCTGCCATTGAACCAATGCCATGTTTCATGCACTTGTTACACACACAGCTGCAATATGAAAAGTCTTTTAATGCAACTTTTTATTTTTTTGTTTGTATGAATAAATATCGAATTTTTCTACATCGAGACAAAGAATTTGACTATTTTAACAAGTAATATAAGAAAATGTAGAGAATGTAGCCATTCTCAAGATACCACCACAAAGTTATTTCAGGGCAGAGAGCTGTTTGAGTTATACTTTGAACAGGCATTATTCCATTTAAAATGTATCTTGTCCTAAAGAAGGGTCTTTGGGACAACATTTGACCTTAGCTTCCCACTAATTTACCCACTGACTGAAAAAAAAAAAAATTTGGACAATGTTCTTGCATCTTAAAAACACGGCCAGACCAACACAAACACCACCTGTTGTGTTAAAAACCTAATTCCGGAAAAATATCTGTAATGAATTACTGTCTGGCATTGTGTATTTCAAGAGATAAAATAAACCATGAACTAATACATATGTCTTTTATTTTATTTTCTGTATTTCATGCCATTACAACACAACCATGATAGTCAGTGCTAACATTTTCATTGTCAACTGTGAACACACATTGCACTGTTGTGCATGGAAAACTGCAACATGGTACTATGATTCAATTTATCAGCTTATTACATCAATATAATTGATACGGTTTCTCTTTTATAACTTGCAAAATAAACCTAAATCAACAAATACACTCAACATTGAGAAGACTGTTCAGAACAAAGACCAATGGATGACAAAGATGGAAATAAAAATTCTATAATGGTGAAAGAAGTATTTAGGCACTTAGAAATACTGTGAGTCCTTGGCTACACTGTGCTTCATTCCATTGTACATGCATTTTATACTGTAGATGATCTTGATCCTGTCATGAGGAGTAAAAGGTTGCCTCTACAACAGGTGGAGCACATTAAAGAACAACCAATTAACGGGATTTCAAGTATTTCACAATACACCAATGTTCTTATTTACATGGGATCCTAGTGTTTTCTATCTATGTATTCTCATTGCATATCCTCTAAGACTCTAAGATGTCATTTTAACAACTATTATTGTACAAATTCTATGACAAACACACAAACTGAAACATCACAAGATACCACCAACACCCAGTATCCAGTATGTCACCAAACATGTGAAGGAGCTCTTTAGGTTACTATGTGAAGCAGGTAATATTTAAGAAATGAGCTATTTTTGGTGAAATGTTTATTTTCCTGTACTTTACATATCAAACCTGTGTTTTGTGTGACTTTCCTAGGTTTTCTCAGATCCTGTGTTTCCGTGGGCTCCAGTAACTATGATGGCAGCAAAGCCATTTGAGAAAATGACAGCATCAATTTTCTCTTCACCCGCTACTGTGCCCAGCGTTATTAAAGGGAAACGGTGCATGCATTGGCAGCTTGACTCAAACTAGGGATGTTTGTGTTGATTTGTCATGACTGAGATAATGGTATACTGTAGTCTGCCATCTCCATGTTTGATGAATCTGTCCTCCCCTTAAAAAGGGGCCTGGTAAGAAAGAAATGGAGTTGTTTACTGGGGAAGCAAACTGAAACAAGTGCCAGCTCTGACTCTGAAGGACTCCAGTAACCACAAAACATCAATAAGAGTCCACTGAAACGGACATTTAGTCTTGTGCTTCTAATCAGTACAGACTGAGTCTAACAACAGCTAACTGAGGACAACAGGAACACAGAACGTAGACGTCACAAACCAAAGGAAGAAACGTACAGTACAACACGACAACAACCTGTCCAAAGTCGAATTTGTTAATGTTCATGTTTGTTTATGGGCATAAACATGTTAGAAATGAAACAGAAACTGATGTGCTCACATAAGCAGTTTGGCCAGTTTGAAACCATGACAACTCCTGCATTAACCTGATGGTCGACAGTGTGGTTGTTCAGAGCCAAACCAGACAGACATGAACTGATGAGACTCTGAAGAACGCAAAGGAAACATATAGTTTGTCCTCCAAATTCAGAGAAAATTTGGGTTTTTTTGTTTGTTTGTGGCCAAAATTGGGGAAAACCTTTAAGCTGGACATCCTGTGTTGACTTGATATATTTGGTTCCAAACAGACGTCAGAGGACACCGATGCTGAGATGACACACAGCTACAGTGTCTCTGATGTCTGTCATCCCTTTGACAAAGCCCCTTTGACATGGCCAATATTAAAGAAAAGAAGTCAAATTGCAGTGAGTTTGAAGAAACAATTGAAAAGAAATACTATATACTTATATATATCGAAAACATTTTGCCATGTATTCATAGGAGGAAACAACTGTTCCTTGGTTAAGACTATGATTGAAGATATGGTTGCATTATTGTTGGTGCTGTGTACAGAGATGCCTCGATACACCCACTGTTAAAGGGACTGATATGACATAAGCATAGTGCAGTTCAGCTGTGGAAGGATATCAGTAAGAAATGACTGAAGATTAAACAGTTTTTCATGTAACATTGATGACAAACTGATAATACATTGCTACATATATCATCAGTGTTGTGCAAGTTCACACTTCGCAAGAGCTAGCTCAAAGTTCAGTTCACACACAATAAAATGAACTCGTTGACATTCATCATTCACAATTTTGAGTTTTGAACTAAGTTCATGTTCCCAGCGATGAACTAGTTCATGCTTATTTCTTCGGTTTTAATTTTCTAACTGGGCTGCTCTGAGCAGCAGGAAACGTTTTTTCAGTAGAACCTCCACCTACATGTCCATCCCGAACCCTGATGCCTGAATTGCCACTTGCACTGGGTATAATTGCAAAAAACAAAAAGAAGGTCGCTTGAAGCAGAATTTTTGTAGTGCACCAGGTGCAGCATACATGATATTTTTAACATTTTTACAAATTTTTGTTAACCACTTCATCACATGTGCATTAAAATACACCTGAAATAACCAAATAGGGCTCAGGTACAGTATTTTGCCCACTGCAGCTCTGCTTCACAAGGACACCCAAAAGGGAAGGAAGGAAATTTAGTTAATACAGGTTTGAAGTAGCTAATAAACCACTTCTATTCAATTGATTCATTCATTTGGGGAATTATTTCTGTACTGTGGATATTAGTGATATACTGTATACCTATCTGGACAATATTTGCCAGCGGAGCTCTGACCATCTTCTTCCAGTGAACTCATCGTTTTGCCACTGCTCTGTATTACTGAGCTATAGAACATTGTTATTACAGTTGTTCTCCATATTGAATGAAGCCTTTGCCCTTCATGCTCACCACCCTGCACATTACCGCTTATATTCATGTTATTTAGTTGATCCATAGAGTTCACCGTTAATGGAAAACATGAGTTCAATGAACGGCGCTCTTCTAGGGTATCCATGCACAACATTGCATGTCACCACAACCCAAATCCCATGACGTTTACAGCTCTGGTTCTATCACAGAACATATAGATGTTCAATTCATTTTAATACTGTTTATACGCTATTGAACTTGATCTTGTGAAGATTAGTTTAGAGTTCTCCACTTTCCCTGGTGTTGTAGGTCAGCTGTAGGCTCTATGGTCTACTCAGTGACTGGCATAACTGGCAACTGCCCCACTGGTACCACCATGCTCCAGAATACCATTTCATCATTATTTATAGACTACTTTATAATTGGAATGGTCATGAAACTGTGCAAGATGTTACAGTTTGGTGTGTAGGCTACAACATCTCACTTGAAAAATGTCAATAAAACAAGAAAATATCTGTTTTATTAAGAAAAGGATATCACTATTTTAAAAAACCATTAGAGCAAAGAATTTAGCAGAATTTGTTTTTATAAAGAAGCCAGCAATATGTCGCCTTAGTTTTTCCCAGAAACCCTCCGCTACCAGTAGGCTGAACTCCTCACCAATAAAAAGCAGTGCTACACAGGAGCAACCAAGCTGCCAAGTCTTTTTTTTTTTTTTTTAGCTTAAAAGCCTTGTTCCTAAATATGAAGCATCATTATTCATCAGTATGTTTATACTGTATATAAGACACAATACACAATGGGCCATGTGGTTACTGAAAAACATCACCAACTGGGGTGATATTATCTCCACAGAATGAATAATGTTGAATTTTGAATCAATAAATCATAATCTTGATTTAGTATCTCAGAACTTTCACCTAGAACATCAAACATTTACTTAGTATCACATTATTTTAAGTGAGCACTTTTATTTTTAATCATTCCTAACTTTACTTTAATTTGATTTTCTGGTCATAACTGGGCTCCCATAGCTCTTGTCCATAGCCTTGATGTGAGATGTCAGTAGTTTTTGCCAACTTGTCTGTCTTGTATTTGTCTTAATTGTGATTGTCTGAACCAAAAACAATCCACCACAGCTCACGGAAGGCAGGGGGACATTACTTTATATCCAGTGCCTGTATACCTCATATGCAGGTTTAATGGTCTAAAATATTACACAATAGAGATGAAATGGTCTGATTTAAAAATGCTTAAAATTCTGTCTGGAGCTGTCAATTTGTAAAGAGTCATATTTAAATGTTTATTGTGAAAAGCATTAAACATGCAATTGTTATAGCAAGTGTCTGCAAAAGTCAGTGAGATACTAACACAAGAGCTCTAGTAAATGGTGTATAGGGTGTTGTCTTAATATATAAGAAATATATTTCTTTGATCACATATTGCAAATTTTCATTTAAAAAATCCATTATCATGCCAATATTTAAACCTGAGATTCAAATTTTCAAAATTCCATAAGTAATTTTGTAGAAAAGACCATGTTGGGGTTAGACTATTGGACTTTGTGGCCTCCCTTCTCATATTATTTCAGATCTTTCATGAACACACTGTGGTAAGCACGTATAACAAAATTTCCAAAACTCAGGAGTTTTGATGCTCACATCACCTAAGTTTGAAATAGTAAACACTAAAAATGCGGGTCCTGATACATAAATATTTTGGTGTTCATTAGGTTTGTGGTGGATACAGTCACTCTGACACTGCTGTCAGACCACGGTGCTGATGTCATCAGCCTCGTCGGGTTTCTTGGGCTTGCTGGGGAGAGACTTGAGGTACTCCAGGTGGCGTCGGGCATCCTCCTGGTTTTGACGAACATAATACACCACATATGAAATGACCATGGCAAACCAACCGAACATGGTCACAAGCATAGCATAGTCTGTGGTCCTTTTGGCCAGGTTACACAGGTCAGTATCCACTGCCAAGTATGGTCTTCCCTCCTGGTCATGAAGCTCCGAGCTCCTGCAGAGAACACGGGCTGCAGCCTCGTGGTTATGAGCCATTCCGCCAATAGCCTGCTGGAGGGCGCAGTCACAATGCCAGGGGTTATCATCCACAATAACACGAGCCTTGAGCCGAGCAAAGGCTTCCTTGTGTACGCTAGTGATGCGGTTGTGGGAGAGGTCCAGCACCTGTAAAGTCCCTTCTAGGCCACTGAAGGCCCCTTCTCCTAAAGTCTCCACCGCATTGTATGAAAGGTTGAGCTCCCTCAAAAGCCTCAATCCATGGAAGGCCTGGTCAGGCACAGCTCCTATCTGGTTGTGGTCTAGCCTCAGCAGGACGGTGTCAGCTGGGAGGCTGGGGGGGATCTCTTTGAGGCGTGACTGACTGCAGGTAACATTGAAGCCATGGAGGTGGGAGTCACGTTGGCAGATGCATCCCTTTGGACACATGCTAGCCGAGGGAAAGCACAGGGCCATCAGGACAAGGCTCTGAAGGAGCAGGCACATGGGGATGGAGTGCGACAGCCACAGGTCCAGCAGAGTCATACTGACCAGCGGTCAGCAGCATCCCGCCTGAGGCCACAACACCACCACTGGTCCCCTACACACATCTCATACTGGCAGCTGGTCCTCACTGTCTGTCCACTGGAAATACAGGAGTGTGAACTGATCTTATCATGCTGTGCTGAGGCCTGAAACAAGATCAAACAGGAAAACAGGTGAACCACTGAAGATGAAAGGTTGCCCATAACCTGCTTGTATTCTAGTGTGACATTTTATGAAGCTCAAAATATTTCAGTTTTTGGTGAAATTGTCATAAATGTATAAATTCAATTCTTTGTTTATTATTGATGTCATAATTAAAGGTGGTATTGCACTGGACTACATTATATTCAGAGGTGTTCCTAATATTCTGACCCTCTCATGTCTGTAGCTGGGAGGACAAAAATATAACGATACCTGTTGATGTTTATAATGCTGTCTCTTGTGTGTGAATACAGTATGTAACAATGATTTTGCCTTAAGAGTCAATCAATTTCAAATCAGTTTTATTTGTGTTGCACCAAATCACAACACTGTTTGAGGACACTTTACAAAGTAAGGTCTAAACATTACTGTTATTATTATTATTATTATTTTAGAGGAAAAACCCAACAAATCCCCCTTGAGCAGCACTTGGCAACAGAGGGGTGGAAAAACTCCCTTTAACGGAAAAACCTCAGACAGACCCCGACTCTTGGTGGGCGGCCTTCTGCCTCAACCGGTTGGAGTGAGTGGATAGAGAAGAAAGAGAAAAAAAGCAGTAAGACACAACAAACAAACAAACACTGGGCAGCTTGATGTGACTGCTCATCAGAAACATAAAGCTCCAGAGCCAGGACTACCTTCAGAAAGGTACAGGGAGAGAGAGGACACACTACGGGAGAGAGGAGACACACAGTTAGTGATGTGTAATGGTGGCATATAGATGCATGGAGAGAAAGGAGAGAAACTCAGAGCATCATGGGGGCCCCCAGCAGCCTAGGCCTATAGCAGCATAACTAAGGGAAGGCTCAGGGTCACCTGATCCAGCCCTAACTATAAGCTTTATCAAAAAGGAACGTCTTAAGTCTAATCTTAAAGGTAGAGAGGGTGTCCGCCTCCCAAACTGAGACTGGGAGTTGGTTCCATAGGAGAGGAGCTTGATAGCTAAAGGCTCTGCCTCCCATTCTCCTTCTGTGGACTCTAGGAACCATAAGTAAACCTGCACTCTGAGAGCGAAGTGCTCTGTTAGGATGATAAGGCTCTACGAGGTCTTTATGATACAATGGAGCCTTGTTATTAAGGGCTTTGTATGTTAGGAGAAGGATTTTAAATTCTATTCTGACTTTTACAGGGAGCCAGTGGAGAGAAGCTAATATGGGAGAGATATGATCTCTCTTGCTCGTTCCTGTCAGTCCTCTGGCTGCAGCATTTTGGATTAACTGGAGGCTTTTTAGGGAATTATTGGGACATCCTGATAGTAAAGAGTTACAGTAGTCCAGCCTGGAAGTAACAAATGCATGGACCAGTTTTTCAGCATCACTTTGAGACAGGATGCTCCTGATTTTTGCAATATTGTACAGGTGAAAGAAGGCAGTTCTAGAGACTTGGTTTATGTGTAATTTAAAGGACATATCCTGGTCAAAAATGACTCCAAGGTTCCTCCCAGTAGTACTGAAGGTGAGAGCTATGTCATCTAAAGTAACTATATGATTAGGAAATTTATGCTGTGCTTCCTGATAATATTGCCTAAAGGGAGCATGTATAAAGTGAAGAGAATTGGACCTAACACAGAGCCCTGTGGAACGCCGTGACTAACTTCAGTTTGTGTGGAACATTCGTCATTAACATGAACAAATTGAAATCTTTCTGATAAATAAGATTTGAACCAACTTAGCGCAGTTCCTTTAATCCCAATAACATGTTCAAGTCTCTGCAGTAAGATGCAGTGATCAGTGGTGTCAAAAGCAGCACTGAGATCTAAGAAGACAAGTATGGAGACAACTCCTTTATCTGAGGCTAGGAGAAGATCATTGGTGACTTTTACTAGTACAGTTTCAGTACTATGATCGACTGTAAATCCAGACTGACAATCCTCATCAAATCATTCTTGTGCAATTGGTCACATATGACTTCTAATGCAGTTTACTGAAAAACACTGATATTTTGTCCCTCCACTGTATATATGTACAGAAGACCTGGGATCACAGACTGAGAAAACAGACTGGAGAAATGTTGCGCAAGCCACGGATGACCCCAGAGGGCATTCTTATCTCCACTATGAAACTCTCAAAAGGAATGAAAGAACTGAAATTAAAGCTCAGATCCAATAATGGAGCCACAATCATGAGCTGCATATGTGACTCAGACACTTGTGCACACACTCATTTACTCTGCACTCCTCATTTCTTTGGACACAACTGACTTTCATCCAACATAAGGACAAAGCATCTATTTTTCTCGACTGTTAACTCTGATATATTTTCTTAACACATGTAACTTGAAATGTAATCTTGTGTAATATGTAATAATGCTCAGGCTAATTATTTTACATGTTAGATTTTATGAATATATTGGAAATCTTTAAAGCTACATATACAGATGGGAGCCAAATTAAAGGAAAAAACTATTAAACCAACATCAGTCTTTTTGTCTTACTCAAGTCAAATAGGTGTTATTCCCAAAATGTTGAAATGGTTTTCTATAATTCTGTGTAATAATGTGGAGTGTCTCACTCTGTCCTTTACATTTCACCTTTGAACAACAGTCAGCTGTTTTTAATTAAGATTACAGTCTTCACATAACCACTGCCTAGAAGTTTTAGTTGCCAAAATGTAACTATATTGTACTAGGAAATACTCATATTAATCACTTTTAGTCATTTTCACAAGGCAAACTGACAAACAACTTGAATGTTGCTTTGAAATAAGGTCTTTTGAATGTACGTCATGGTAGACATGTGTAGTATGTATTTAAAAATTCCAAACAACTTGCTGTGAAACATGAAGGAAACCAAGCACCCAGTGTGAGAAGGTGTGACCTCCACAACCTCTGTTCCCTCTGTTCTATCACTCTGCATTTGATATTACACATGAAAAATACTGAGCTGTGCTGGCTGAAAAGGATCCTTCTTCACTTGAAACAGAGAATAGTCTGTTCTCTCCTCTTCCTCTCAGTGAGTCACGACTGCACATAACCTGCATTACTACAGTGTCAGCCCTTCATATCCAATCTACAGGTTGCACAAGCTAAAACCTTTGCTCTATTTGAATCCAATTCATAGTTGAGTATCTGAAAGCCTCCATTTGGCATTTGGTAAACCCCAAATTGAACACAGGAGGATTAGCAGATTATTTATTAAAAGTATTCTGAAATCAGAAGTTTTTGGAAGGTAGGAAGAAATTGATGTTTCTACACAGAATGGAAACCAATGCAGCTGAGATATCTCTTGTTTCATGTCAGGAGATCACAAGGATCGCCTCCTCAGAATTAAAATTTGTTTCCAGTATTTCAAGTGTTCTTGGCCTCCTATTATTATTCACTGATTACGTTCCAGTCAGCTAAGGTGCCAAATGACTCTAGCCTGACATGGGGAAAGGAATTAAATCAAATCAAATCAAATGAAATTTTATTTGTATAGCACCAAATCACAACAAAAGTCATCTCAGGACACTTTACAAAGTAAGGTCTAGACCTTACTGTTATCAATATTATTACATAGGGAAAACCCAACAAATCCCCCTTGAGCAAGCACTTGGTGACAGTGGGGAGGAAAAACTCCCTTTAACGGAAGAAACCTCTGACAGACCCCGGTTCTTAGTGGGCGGCCTTCTGCCTCGACCGGTTGGGGTGAGTGGATAGAGGAGAGACAAAGGAAGAAAAGCAACAAGAAATGTCCCATTGACAGAGACAGAACAATAGTGCTGAGAGTATTTAAGAAACCTACCACGGAATGTCAGAACTAAACACTTATGATGGCACGAGAAGCCCTCAAAAACAGTTTTTACTCATTTCAGCATTGGGCATATTACCACCTACCACCTACCTTTTCACTGTCAGTGTTCTACTAAACCAGGTTGTTAGATAACCTAATATTAAATTTTACTCTTTTCTTTGTCCCCCTCTCTCTGTGCAAAAGAACACACGGTTAATGCACCTTTAAAATCAAGATCCCACCTGGGTTCATACACTGCATTCCTCTTTGCTCTTGTGTTATAACACAGCTCTACTTGTAAAGGAGATAAAATTAGGCAAATTGTATCAAAAAGTCTGGTAATCAGTATGTTTGTGCTTTACCTGATAGGGGGAGTTCAGAATCATTAGGCATGTGGTGAGAAGCACTTAGTTCGCATTCACACAGACATTTTCCCTGCGTTGCCCAAAACCAGCAGGATCAAGCAGAGCCATAGTCCGTGATGGATAATAAGGTAGGACTGGCAGGTCTGATGCACTAAAATCTCACAGCAAAGCTGCTTCACTGCAACTACAGGTTGGATCGTGAATGAAGGTTGGACCTGTGAGAATGAAGGATCACATGCTGTCTATCATTTAACAGTATTGGGTAACAGCTGTGCTACCAGGTCTTATGTTTTCTATGAGAATGCATATAGTCACTTGAAAAAGACTGATAGGCTTAAAGTTAAGGCATCCGCAAAGGGGAATGCTTGTTTAAAGGCTCACAATTAGACCAGTTTTTATATCCACAGTCTTACTGATAAACACATAGGTTTGTCATTTGTGAATGACAAGGTAGTTTATTCTTTAAAGTGGAACTAATCACGAATTTATATCAACAACAGATTAATGTGAAAGGGGTCACTTACGGTGATGAACCCAGGGTAAATTCAGTCAATTATCTGCAGTTTTCCTCAGTTCTGTAAAGCTTTTAAGCATTTTTCAGTTCACTGTTTAGGTTTTACAGCCTGCTAAGTTACTGTTTGGTTCAGTCTCAGTGCTCTCATCACTGTCATTTCCAGGCACAGCAGGAAGCTATTTTCAGCATAAAAAGCTGTGCACGACCAGCCCCACAGTAAACAGCAAACAAAGGTAGCAACTAGCTGGTGAATGTAGTGGAGCATTTAGCATTTAAAGAGCCAGCTGCCTTTTGCCCCTCAGTGGTATGGGGCCAAAATAAATGCCGTATTTCTTTGAAGACTCCAAACCCAGCAGGGCTCTGAGATCCCTAGGAAGCAGTCATCTGGTAGAGGCTCGGCTCAGAACCAAACAGGGTGAAGCTGCTTTTAGCTACTGTGCTGCACACAGATGGAACCAGGACCTTAGATGTGCCCCAACTCTGCCAGCTTCAAGTCTGAAAACTGAAAGCTCTGCTGTTCTCCTGTCCCTTTGCTTGACTGGTTTCTGTGCTGCACTTTCTGCACTGTAACTGCTAAATAATTTACTTTCACTTTGCCTATTTGTTTTTATTTTTGTTTTATGTGTTTTATCTCATTTTTTTTACCATCATTTTGTCTTATTTTATTCTCGTTTTAATGTTTATTGCTTTTAATGCTGTTATTGTTTTCCTTTGCCTATGTAAAGCACTTTGAATTGCCTCTGTGTATGAAATGTGCAATATAAATTAAGCCACCTTGCCTAGTAAGTATCCACACAAACTAAAGTAGGAAACAGGTTTACTTGTAGTCACAGGGAGAGAAGCAGTTCATCTCCAAGCAGGCAGGCCAGGCAAACATCTCAAATAAGAGGGAGACAATATAATCAGATCCTGTGAGTGACTAAGGTCCATAAACAATAACGGCAAACAGGAAACTAGGGACAGGCAACTGATAGTTATGGCATGTGTGGCACTAAAGCCTCAGAACTTGTGTCGAGCAGAGGGTGCGGTTCCAAATAACACCTCAGTTCGAAGCTTGTGTTGTTTCCCTGATTATCATGTGACCAATAACAAGTGAGACCCCACTTTACCGGACGGGACTCATTTACTTTGTGCTTTGAATGGCTTAAGTAAAAGCTATACTTCTATCAGAATACTGTGTGCCCCTTGTCGCACAACATATGTCAGGCACTGTCTTATTTGAAATGGAGTCACTGAGAAAGACATCCTATCTGAAAACATTTTAGACTGATTCTTATTCCTCAATAAAAACCAATAACAAATGCCCTCATCTGTTACACAAACACACAAGACATTTAAGCATTTTTACTGTCCACAAAACTATTGATCGATCACAATTAAATAGCGTACAGTAGTGGTCAGCCGATATTGGGTTATATATGGCCGAGGCAGATGGCAGTTTTCAGAGAGCAGGGAGGCCAGTGGCTGATATGTCAACATCATGTTGTTTTCAATTTTTGCATCAAATAAAATACAATTATTTATAATAACAAATGAGGCACAAATTTGCTTAGCTTAAACAAACATGTATTTAAACTAATGAATTATGAAAATATTTGAATTATTTCAAGTATTTGAAACAAAAAATGAGCACTGTCTCAGTTTGCAACCCTCTGCACTTCCCATATTATTAAAAAAGGTTCACATGTAGCCAAGAAACTAAATTTTGTAAAAACTAGGATTACCACTTCGGGGTTGTGTGCCTCTGCCAGCCATTCAAATTCATAGGTACGAAACAGAAGTGAGGTCACCAAAATCCAATCAGGTCATCCTTGAGTCCAAGTGAACCCTATGGACCAAATCTGAAGAAATTCCCTCAAGGTGTTCCTGACATATCTTGTTCAAAAGAATCACATGGATGGACAGAGGTGCCTGCAGACATTTGCTGTTAATCAGCTTCATGAGCACAAACATTGGCCAATGGCAATTATCTAAAAATGTCAAATATTGGTCCAGTTAATTACCCAACAGATCAATCAAACAATCTACCACTATTGTATACCTAATTATAACATCCCTGACAACTGTTGGTAGACCCGTTTACACTGCCCATTTAAGGTGGGATTATTGCTCCAATTTTCCACCAAGCCATTCTGTATAAACATTTCCAAGCTGGCATGGGGGGGTCAATGCTGACCCTCCTTTATTCCCTCATGAGAGATAGTAAAACTGGTGCGACTGTTCTGCCTCAGCCTCTGTGTAAATGAAAGAGGCTTGGGGTTTGTGGGTGTAGGTGTGTGAAGTTTTGATGAAGTGTTGTTTCTGCAATGCGCTTCCATGGAATAAAAATTTTAACATTGCTCTCAAGAAATATAACTTGTAACCATAATCATTAATATGCTGCATGACAAGTTTGAGTTCAAATCATGTCGTAAATGTGCAGGAAAGCAAAAGCACATACCTACTCTGTCAGTTGTTGATATAAAGTGATCATTACCGGTATGCTTTGTATTTCTGACATATCTGGTAAAATACACTGCATATACTGTATGCATGAGAATATGTCATGCTGGATGTCACATTAAATGTCACACTTCTAATACCAGAATTCCAGGATCTGTGTGCAAGGCACACAAAGGCGGCATCAGGTTGGCTTTCTTAGTTCAATGTAAACAGGAAAAGACACAATGCAGAGGGCCAGCTTACTGCCAATACAGGAGAATCTAAAAGAGGCAAATGAAGACTGCAGCATTACTATCTGCTCCATGTCCATAGCAGTGTAGTGCAGCACAGAACCTGTGATGTCAGGTTCTGTTTGCTATAAAAGATCTTTCCACTAGATGTCAGTAGTTTATAATGAGCTCTTAAACGAGTCTTCAAGAAATTAACCTCTGGTGAAACTGGCTGGGAAGCCTCAAAACCGAAATAAAGCTTCATCTTCCTATCAGTAGCTACTGACCAGAACTTCAGAAGGAATAAAATGTCCAACGCAGATTAATCCAATCGTTCAAATAGGGAATGGACATAATTGAAGTATAAGGGAGAAAACTGGTACAAAACAAATGCTGGAGAGTCAGGAGAGACGTTGCCTTCAACAATAATCTGGCCGTGAGTGAACGCTGCTGACTTAAATACCTAGTGGTGGACCGCGCTGTTAGAAGGCAGGGCAGAGTAGGTAATCAGAGCAGAAAACTGGTACAGAGATGGGCTGGGTCTAACATATTGACTGTATGTAAGATGGACAGTCTGACAGTGCCCAGAAGTGAAGCCACCATGACTCGATCACCCCCTGTTGATGCCACCGGAGATCGTAAATCATGACTTGACACCTCAGTTTGACAGAAGCAGGACTCAACTCTAATACATTGTCCCAGAGGTCATTTCTGTCATATTTGGTAGACATGATCATGCCGATGTGTGTAGAAGTGGTAATATTTCTGGTAAGGTTGTTATTAATAAAAGGGGGTGTATTTCAGTTTATTCAGTTTATTTATTTGGCCTGACACATCACCCAACTAATCAGTCACTATTGCTTAGAATCTGGTTGCAAAATGCTAAGGTGGCAGACATCGTATTCATGATATTTTGGCTTCACTTTTGCATAGTGGAGAGAAGTGGTGATGCATTTCCATATTTACATACAGTCATTGGTCTAACACAACAGGGCAAACATGGGGTGAAGACAGAGCAATGACCGGGATTTTGAAAGGATTAGCTAAAAAATCAATAGTGCACAGATAGAAATAGTTATAAACTGATATCTGTCAGTAGAACATTTTGAGATGGAGACTGGTAGAAAAAGTCCTAGACATACTGTAGCTCTCCTCACCTGCAAACTGTCAGTTCAGCAACTCTACTATGAACATGCCATTATACAAACTGTACCACAGAGGTAAGTAAAATATATTACATTAAGCTTACAGTAGCCTGCACTGATTTGGTTCAGCCTAAACACAAGCAATAGCACTGACTATGAATTTTAATTTAAGCTTTCAAGATGGACTCCCCTGTTATTCCATCAGTGTTATCATACCAGAGTAAAACGCCAGGATCCATATGAAAACGAGCTCAAAGTCAGTGATACCATGTTTGGTTGTGACTACACATTGACACTCTGCTTATTAAACACTGAAAGGAGACAATAACTGTGGCAGGGTTTGGCGCGTCTGTCAGGTGTCTGGTTGCCGCCTTCTGAATCATGTGTGAAATAATCCAATATGGATTAACATACTGTAACTCGTTTTGACCGGGTGGACCCGAGGACACCCTGGACAGCAGGGATACATCGGGAATCCCTGATCCAGCTGTTGCCTCACATGTGGAATACCTCCCTGCGTTAACCCGACCGTTTAATTGCTGCATGCATTTGATCCCTTTAAAGCTCCCCAGATACTGCAAAAACAGTCTGTGGTGTCTGTGACCAGGGCAAACATCAGCAGACAGCAGGACAATATGCTCCCCATACTGACGTAATGTCAACAGAATTTCCAGTCAATAAAACCTCACACTGTCTGAACTGTGGCTCCATACATATTATACATGGAAAGAACGTCACACAAAACCCAACCGAATAATTTCTTATTTTAATATATTCATCTTAATCGGCGAGTCATGATTCCACTAGTTGGAAAGTAAGTGCCATGATCAGAATCAGTATGAGTGATACTGTAAATCGGCATCCAATTAACACACCCAGCAGCAGTTCCTTTCTCTCAGCTTTAACTTTTATCACACTGGTAACTGCCGCCCTCCGTGGTGCATATTATCGGGAAAAGATGGCAAGAAACTGCAGGCGACGTAGCAATACCGCCGGATTGTGCAAGAAATAAATGTTTTATCGTAAGTTCTTTGTATGCCGAATTAATGCATGGTTTTTAATCTCTTGAAATTTACATTTGTTTTTATTTTATTCGTTGTGTCATTCCAGTAATTGTGAAAAAAAATCATGAATTTGATTATTTACAATGGCGTCTGGCAAGACGTTCCCTGTGAAAATATCACGCATCAGCCTTACCTTAACTGCCGACACCAAATCAATTCTTTATGTTCTATAATTGTCAGAAAAAAACAGACTCCAAAATGCCCAACAGAAGAACACATTTTTAACCATCCCACTGTTATAAATATAGAATATATAAAAACTATTCTTCCATGCAAAAATGAATGAGGGCAGAGACCATAGCAGAGGACAGACAGTAGGCTACAAACATAATACAGCAGAGGCAGGCATCGGAGCAACAGGCGCCACAAGTCTCCTCACCTGCAGTCAGAGTCATAGCTGCTGTCAGTGTCCATGCCATAGGAAGCTGCTTGGACAGGCTGTGTGCGCAGCCTGCCTCCTGAAATATCCGCTCATCAATGGTCAAGTCTCAGGATGAATTTGCATCTTTACCTTTCAGTATCAAACACCGCACCGGAGTGAGTGGGGAGAAAGGGAGGGATTCGATGTGAAAAGTCACCGGGTACCACAGGCAACAACACTTCCGGTCTTAGACTTTGGTATAAAATGCAAATTGATTAGTTACGCAGGGGAGGAAAGTAACTCAAGTACTGTGTTTAAGTACAACTAAATAAAATAATACACATATAATTAGCTCCAAATTTATGGACTGCAAAATTAAATGTGATGTACACAGTGATTGCAATCAAATAATATGATTTCATCTGAGATGTGCCATTCCACATAATGAGTACTTTTACTTTTGGTACTTTCAAGAGTATTTTCCAACACTGGATTTATGTAACATAAAAAATGGCTATTTTATCATTAAGGGGGACTTAATGGAGGACAAATGTGAATACATTTAGTTGTTGTTGACTGGATAATAACAAAGAGAAGTTATAGAGTTGAATTCTTGCCTATGCCCTGTCTGCTGGAAAATAAACTAAACAACCAGACAACTTGGAAAACGAAAAGGAAACTGGTTTAAAACTGGACTTCATCACAGAACACCTCATCCTCATATGCTGAACCAGATCCAACTCAAATCAGACTTTGAGTCAGGTTTGGCTGCGCCTGCCTTCTCACTCCCCTCCCTCTGTTTTTGCTCCCTTACCTTGATGACGTTATCCGACACACCTGTGCTTCATATCCCCTGATTACCACCAGCTGCACCTGATTAGTTCTCCCTATTTATTCCCTGCTCTACGTTCACTCCCCTGCCAGTTCTTTCTAGCGTTATCAGGCCCGTTTGTTTCCCCGTTCTCTTTTACTGTATAGTATCTTCACGTTTTGTCGCCCTAGCTCTGTTCCAGTCTTTAGCTCCATTGTTTTATTCCTCCTCGCCTCTGTCGCTTCTCCGGACCACGGACCTCCTCTACCCGGCTCCTTCTCCACCATGCAGGTCGATGCACAGTCTCCTACTAACTGTATGTACAAACTCTGTTTTTCCTCAGTACTTTCCACCACGACCAGCCCAGGAGTGAGTCCCAGCGTCCGCAGCCCGGTCTTCTCCTCATCATTCAGCCACTGACTGTATTCACTTCTGCAGCTCGACACCCGGTCCCACTAGACAGTACCACAAGATGAGGCAAGCCCTAAGTCTAGATGTGGGCTACACAATGTAATGTTGGACCTATAGTGTCTTAGCTGGTCTGTTATTTTGTGTTTACTTGTATTATAATTTTTTTCTTGTAGTTTATTTATCTGATTATTTTCATCTTTAATCCCACATTTACTAACCCTAACCCTGTGGCCTGACCCCAGATGAATGGTTGATGATAGATAGATGGGCCATACCACTTTCCAGCCTGTTTTAGACACTGTCAACTTTCAGGCTGCTGAAAGTGTGAAATAATGAAAGCAGCTGGACTGCTGTCAGAGGTTCTCCTATCTGGAGGATTTGGCTTTATAATGATAAAAATAATACTTTGAATATAATAGCATGCAGTAATTTGAGCTATTTCACCAGTTTATGAACCTTTAACAAAATCATCTATTTAGCTTTTTCACTATATTTTTCAGTTCATTTATTCATTATTTTACCAGGCTGTTTTAACATTAACACTATCCATTTTTTTGCTAGGTCTTTCAACCAGTTACCCATTCGCTTTAGCACATTTTAACCATTTATCCAATATTTCAAACAGTTTAATTATTTCAAATTGTTATGGCTTTAATTACTTAACTGAAAAAAGTTGTCATCTAACACGCTTTGACAGTAGGAAATCTGATAGAGTACATCTTTAAGATGTTGTCTGAAGCAAATACCTTCACCAGAGGCACAATCAGAAAAAATGTGCAACAAATAGAAGTCAAATAATTTAAACATGCTTGTCTTTTTTAAGACGAGCTCTCTTAGGCCCCTTTAGCTCTCTGATGTCTGAATGCTGTGCTGCTCCCCGATGTGGAATATGGCCTCCTTTATTTTGAAGGCAGAATCATGTGGTTTCCTGTGGCTAAGTGTAGCAGCTTGATGCAGCTGTGATGTTCACCAAATGAATTGAAAGTCATGATTTGGCAGACGGGTAAAAAGCCCCTGCATATGGGTGTGTATGTGTGTTTTCCAAAGAATTTCCAAAGGTTGGGTTTATTACTGTAGTTATTTTGTTATAGTTGCTTCTGGGGTGGTGTGCAGGAGTGAGCTGGGCCTTATCTGAGATGACCTCACACCAGGGATTACAGGCACATCATCTATCTGTCTATACAGAATAGCTATGCACTGTACTTTATAAAAGCTTTAATCCTGCACCTCAAAATGAAACAGTTGTAAAATAAAGTGAGTGACATTTCTCATGAAATTGTTCTGATCTTACAGCAGGTCACGCCAACCCAAAAGGAACCAGCACCATGTATTCCTACCAGTCCAGACGGTGACTGTCTGCCTGGCAGCCACAATCATAACTGGGTGTGGGGTTCACATTTGTTGTGCTGTTTTGTAAAACACTTTCCAGCAGCCCTCACTCAACTCAGATCTTGTGATTTTTATTTTGGCTCTGCGCGTGGATTCACTAATCATAGCAATTCAGCTTGAATGGATCTTAAATGCTGGTGTGTCCAGACTAAATCCAAATCAGATGCCAAAACACTACAGAGCAGTTCTCAGAGTGAGCCTGGAGCTTTGGGGCCCATAAAGGTTTGTGAGCCCCAGAGCAGGTGCTCAGTTTGTTGGATATGAAACCAGCAGTTTTCTTTCTTACAAAGTATGTTGTCAGTAGGGCTGTGAGTGAAATTATTGAACTTGATCTTATTGTTGTGATTGTAGCTGACCTACTGGTATCATCATGACCCTGGTCCACGCCTTATTAAGAATAATGAAATGACTCATGAGACTGGCTATTATAAAACTTGGTTGACTTTTAAATCCCTCAGCAACTCTTTAATCACAAGGAACTAACTCTGCTCGACTGAATCGTGTATTTATTACAACCACTACATCTCCAGAAGGCTCCTTATATGGTGCTAGAGGAAAGAGAAATATATATGCTTAGGAGGCTTTTCTCTGCTCAGTACACAGCTCATGATGCTATCCATCTGGTGTGAAACAGTGGTTCCTGTTCAAATGTCATGGAGTGACACAAGTGAGTGTTTCCATTTACAGTTTCAGTATCATACAAATATTTACACACAGGAACCTGACAGAAGAAACAGTTTGGCTGTAAGTTGTTTCATCCTCACTAAAGGAATATCAGCAACTCATAAATCATTTGTGAATCATTTTTAAATTTGGGTGATACACTGGCTTCTTGCTGTTTCTTTGAACACCAGCAGGGTGGTAGAGTCTCAGCGGATGATACACAGGCTACAGAGGGATGGCGGAGTGTTTGAGAGTGGAGCACAGATGGAGGGATTTCTTTAGCTGGCGCTGGTCAGACAGTATGTCCTTGATTTCAGATCTGTTCAAAGAACATCAGAAGTTAGGTATTCATGGATGAGTCTATGTTTATTTATGCAATTTGTTTGTTCATCTAGAAATGACCATCCTGCCTGAGCCCAGTTATCTGTTGTTCCATCAGCTGGTCAGTCTGCCCATCCACCTGTCTGTCAGATGCTTTGGTCCAGAGCTCACCACAGGTACCTGCCAGATATCCATGACACTGACTATGGATATTCAAGGTTACCTGAGGATGAGTCCAAATCTTTTTGGCAACAACATGACCTTTTGATGAGCAGTGCCATTGACAGCATCACTTTGGTATGGATATTGTTCCAGCAGACTGAGCTTTAAAGTTTGGTCATCTGTTACTTTTTGTGTAGTGCCATCAGGCCAAGATTACCACTTTTTCAAAGTTCCATTCTTTATTTCTTGAGGTCTAGACCATCTCCATAGGTGGTCCTAGATGCGCCTGATATCCAGTATTAGATCATGTGACCTCTGTCAGAACAGTCGGTTTGGAATTCATATTTTTCTTTTCACCATCTCACCCCTCTGCGCCTGTACATATTGCCTGTTGTCATCATTCAGTGTCGATCCCCCACAGACCATTAAAATTGAACATGGAGGAGAGCAACAACAGTGATAGGGGTCAGTGGATTTGTTTTACTGCCTATTTAGATTTATCTACTTCATATTTCACTTATATTGTGTGGTATTCATGTGGACGGCAAAGTAAGAATTTCATTGTACAGGGAAACATGTTTCCTAACTGTGCATATGACAAACACTTTGACCTTTGGAGAAATGAGGGCGTTTTCACATGGTAAATGGTCGTATAGTGCTTTTCTATGCATTGCAGCGCACACTGAAATCGCTTTCACGCTCTTTCACATTATTTGACCATTCATCCATTCACACATCAGTGACATCACCGGGGAGTTCAGTGTCTTGTTCAAGGACACTTCGAAATGTGGACTAGACAAGCCGGGAATGTTCCGGTTAGGAGACGACTTGCTCTACCTCCTGTTTCTGGAGAAGCTTCTGATTCGGTCAAACTGAAAAGAACCTGTTGCATCTGAGCAAGGTTGTGGAAATTGTGTGATTTGCTGTTATGTTATTACTGTTGTATGCATGTGGCTCAGATTTCACTTAAATGAGCATGCGTGGCAGTTTAGGAGCACAACAGTAGTCACGCTGAAGCTGAATACTGTACATGTCACTTACTAACAGAAATGTGACCCATCAACACAAAAAGATTAGCTCTGACAAAATGATTCAAATTGAGTATCAATGCCTGTAATGAGAACATAGTGTATGAGCCTACACAGCCATGCTAGCAGCTGTGGTTCAGCCCCGCAGTGCCTTAAGCTAGTGTAAATGCTAAAGCCAGCATGTTAAGGTGCTCACAATGACCAAGAAACAAACAAAAACCATCTTGCTGTTTGGAGGATGTAATGTTTACCACCTTCATCATCTTACTTTGGTGTCTTACCGTTGCCTTCTCATATGTGCTAACGGAACAACTGAATCTGTTCATCAATCAATAAATCTCTGTGATCTGTTTAATCAATAAAGATATATATTACAAAGTTAAGACTCATCTAGGACCATGCAGCTATAAACCAGAATGAAGGCAC